GAGGGAAGGAGGATGGAGGAGGGGGAGGAGGAGGAGGAGGAGGAGGAGGAGGAGGAGGAGGATGAGGAGGAGGAGGAGGAGGAGGAGGAGGAGGAGGAGGAGGAGGAGGAGAATGAGGAGGAGGAGTAGGAGTCGAGGCAGGCGGCAAAGTCCGTTGGAGCAGCAGCGCAAGGGCCCGGGACTGCAGCACAAGCACCTCGTGATCTGGGAGCCTCGGAGTCCTCGAGGCAGTCGACAACCTGCAGGGCTCAGAGGCCTCCAAGCCCTCGAGGCTCTTGGAGTCCTCGGAGGCCTCGGGGCTCGGAGTCCTCAGAGATCTCGAGGGGGTCGGAAGTGCAGGCTCCTCGGGGCAGTGGAGGTCTTCTTTTTTGGGGTGGGGTGGGGGGGGGCGCAGAGCCGGCGCGGGGGATCGGAACTGGGAGGGGACACTCCCGCGCGGGAGCCGCCAGGGGCTGCTCTGACGGGGGGGCCCGTGAGCGACGACAAGAAACAAGCCTCACGCGGGACGACACAGCGACCGTCCGCGGTGTCCCACGCGGGCGGCCAGCGCGGCACGCTACATTGACGACGAGGGCGCGTTCGCACGACCTTACGCGGGCAGCTTACGCGCGAATGTCGGCGCGGTCGAACCAATTTTTCTGCGCCGCTCACGTGGGGGCAGCTTCCAGGCTCGAGGAGGCCCTCCACAAGAGGGGTCTAGAATCGAAGCAGCTGCATGAAGAGCGCGAGCAGAAGTTCTAGACGTCGGCGCCGTTCGCGGGAGCGAAAGTGGAGAACACGACGGCTTGGGGCCCCCCCGGGGCCCCAGGTCTGGCCGGAATCGGAGCGTTTCCCCCCGGAACGCCGACCGCGGCATCGCCAGATGGAATTTCGGCCGAAATCTTGGCCCGCGCCCACAGCATAATTACGGCCAAGGCCGCTGAGGCACGGACGACGTTGAGGAGGAGGAGGAGGAGGAGGAGGAGGAGGAGGAGGACGAGGAGGGAGGAGGGAGGAGGAAGGAGGGAGGAGGAGAGAAAGGAGGAGGGAGGAAGAGGAGGAGGGAGGAGGAGGAGGAGGAGGAGGAGGAGGAGGAGGAGGAGGAGGAGGGAGGGAGGGAGGAGGAGGAGGAGGAGGAGGAGGAGGACGACGGGAAGGAGGAGGAGGAGGAGGAGGAGGAGGGTGGTTGGGAACCGCAGGGGCTCGGGTGCTCGGGCCGCTCCTGACCTTCAGGCCGGGGGGGGGGCCTGTCCGTGGCCGAGGCTCGCCGCGGCCAGACGAGCCCCTCCGCTCCCTGTCCAGCGCCCCTCCTGGTACCGCGCTGGCTGTACACTTGCGGAGAGCTCCGGTGCCGCCCGTGGCGCGCTTCGCGCGTCAGGGAGGGGGCTCCAACGCCGATCCAAGAACTCCTCGGCCTCTGAACACTTCGACCAAGGAAATGACGGTGGGCACCGAAGGGGAGACGCCAATAATTCTCTTCAGGGGGAGGGGGGAGTCCATCCCGCTCTGTGAGAGCGGAGTGCTGCGCGCGGGAGTCGCAGACCCGGGCGCTTTCAAACGGCCCCCGGGCGCGACCAAGGCCTGCTCCAAGGGTGAGGAGGGGGGCGGATCGGGCGAAGGAGGAACGGCAGACACGTGACGCCGCTGTGGAGGTCCGCCCAGACTCCCCGGGTCGGCACCGGACCGCCCTGCCTGCCGCGCCTCGGGCGCCAGCGGGCGGCGCCCGAGGCGCCACCCGGGGCGCCCAGCGCCGACCCAAGACATCCGCCCGGAGCTCCGACAGATTCTGCTCGTGCACGCATGCAGCTTCTGATGTTTTGTTTGGTTTTGATAGTCTCTCTCTCTCTTTCTCGATGGGGCGGGGGCCGCAGTGCCTTCTTTACCCTGCAGCGTGGCAGCGAAGGCGGGCGCGAGCCCCAGGGACGACAGGGAGGCGAGGGAGGGAAGGTGGCGGCACAGAACGTGCGGGCGAGAGGCGAGCAACTCGAGAGGCAAGCCCTGCTTGGCCGCACCAGCTACAGATCATTCAGAGGAGCGAAAACACAACCTACACAGAAACTGCTGGAGATCCGCGCGGATTTCTCTGATCGGTGCTGGGCCCCCCTGGCGGCGCCTCCGGCGTCGGCCCTGGCGCGTTCTGCCCGCCAGGGAGGGGGTCCAGCGCCGATCCAAGAAACCCGCGCGGAGCTCCAACAAGTCATGTGCATGTTGTTTTCCGTTTTCGCTGAGTGGCCGAACCGAGTCGACTCTGACGCTCATGGAGGGCACGGAGTTGCTCCCGCGTGCAGTGCCAGCGCGCACAGATTCATAATACAGCTCTGGTGCACGCGGGTGCTAAAATACATGGTGGCTTTTACTAGATGTACAAACAGCTCGAGGCGAGATGACTCTCAGTCGAACTGCACGCAGACCGCCGTGACGCTGCCTGACCTGAGAGGGACAAGAAACTTTGTAAACATACACTTTCGGAGGTCCGTGCGGATCTTTTGGATCGGTGCTGGATGCGCTGCCAAGGGGGACCCCAACGCCGATCCAAGACATCCACGCGGACCTGCGAGGAATTGGATGTATGCCGTTGTTTGTTCCTCGAGAGATGACGTTTAATCAAACTGCACGCAGACCGCCGTGATGTTGTCCGACCTGGCGTTGCGCTTGCACTGCTCCCGCCGGGCGGCCTGCACCAGGGCCTCGGACGGGTTGCGGCCGTCCTGAACAGCTTGGTGCGCCACCTCTTCTGTGTCAACTCGTGGGAGCCTCCCATGTCATTTTGCTGGCTCTTGCGAATCGATGCTGGCCGACGCTAATCGACGCTCAATCGACGCTACATCGGCGCCGTCTCATCGATTGCCAAACACTGGCACGCGCTAGTGCACTCTGCAAGCGGAATTTCGAGGGCATACAACAGGATCAATCAACACCGACTCAGTAAACCGGATCGAATCGAAATGTGCGTCGGCTGTGGCCGCATCGGCACGGAATCGGAATCGAATCCGATCGGCTGCGCCACGATGCACAACAATATCATGCAACCGTCGGGCCGCATCGGACCGCCGGAATCGACCTCGAATCGGATCCATCGGGTCGGAACGCACCCTGCACACGGCTCCCACGAGTTGCTACCGAACACCTCAACTGCGCGCTGCGCGTCTACGACGTCCCACAAGCCGTCGGAGGCCAAGATCGCGTAGCGCACCCGCTGGTATGCAGGGGCGCCCCGCTCGCCGATGCGCAGCAGTCTGACGTCGGGGACGCTGCCGATCGGCTGTTGCCAGAAGTGTCCCTGGCCCAACCGTGGGATCCCAACAAGGCAACTTTTCCACGCCTTGCGATTTCGCCCGATTCCGGGCCCCGCGACCCTCGCCAATCGATCCGGCTCCACCGGTGTCGCAGAAAGATTGTGTCTCGGGCTCCCGTCGTCATCTTCTACAAACTGTGCGACTGTTCCGCGTCGTCGGATCTCAGGGAAGGTGCCCCCCGGATTTCCAGAGAGGCCCCGGCGGCCTCCAGAGCACTCCCCGCGAGGCCCAGAGGGCCACAAGGGGCGCTACGACGGAGGGGAGCACCCTGGGCCAGGGACACCCTTGGCAACCCCCGAGCTGAGGCCGAAGCGCTTGAGGTCCTTGCAGCCAAAGGCGCGGGAGTACATCAACTGCATGGGGCGATCGCCGGAAGCTTTCCGGGCCATAAAGTCGCCGCCGCGGATGAAGGACTTGGGCCCGTGGTTGCGCAGGCGCACAACGGTCCCCCCACTCTCCTCGATGCGTTGCCTCTCCTTCTCGTTGTCTGGGCTGTGGTCCAGAGTCATCTGCTCGCCTACCATCTGGCCGTCCACATCCTTTCCGAAGATGATGCGGGAGTCACCCAGGTGACCTACGCCAAGCAGATCCCCGACGACAACTAGGGTTACGGAGGTGCAAGTGGCGTAGTTCTGCGCGTGTTTCGCGCAGCTGCGCAACAACGACTCGTCCGCAGACTGGTACATGTCCCGGAGCGCGTCCTCCAGCAGGCGCTCCTGCTGTGCCTTGGAAGCGTCGCGGGAAGGCGCAGCGGACATCTGCTTCAGCGTCCTCCAGCTGGGGGACTGCTGCAGCATAGGGATGACCTAGAGCATGCCAAAACTGCATAAACGTAACCTTTCGGAGGTCCACGCGGATTTCTTAGATCTGCACTGGACACCTCTCCCTGGCGCGAGAGGCGCGCCAGGGGCGGCGTCAGAGGCGCCACCAGGGGGGTCCAGCGCACATCCAAGAATGCCGCGCGAAACTCAGAACGTTTACAGTCGGGCTGCTGAAAGAAGACACGCTGAAGAAGGAACAAAACTCCTTGTCGGCTCCACAAGCGCCTGCGTGGACGAGGAACGCTAGAGAAACAGCCATGGAAGGACCTAAGGAACATCGAACCCATTCCGAACCCAGAGTGCTCCTTGTTTCCGCGTCTTGGCTGTATGCTTCATATACTTTTGCTGTCCTCGATGACCAAGTCCTTTACGCGCTCGGAGGCGAAGTCGCCCACGGTGCCATCGAAGACGCCGAAGAAGGAACACGGCACGCGGGCCTCTGGCTCGAAGTTCGGGGCCACGGTGAAGCGGTCCTCCTGGGACGGCCTATCGCCGATGTCCGGGGGTTGACAGAAGTGTCCCTGGCCCAAGGTGTCCCGCGATCTCCCCTCCGCCCCTGAGAGCTGCTTCGAGTCTCGACCCACCCACGGTATTTCAATATCTCCTCTCCCGGGCCGGGGCGTCTGGCCTGGCGGTTCCAGAAGGCACCCTTGCGCGGGACGCCGAGAGGCGAGATCCTGCGGGTTCCAGTGCAAACCCGCCCTGGTGAATCAGCTTTTCCCTTGACTTTGCCCCGTGTGGGGTGCTCTGGAGGCCGATTGGGCCTCCCTGGAAATCCTGGGGACACTTTGGGACAGGGAAGCCTCTGGCAGCACCCACGATGTGCTGGAACAGCGAAATGGCGAGCGGGGCTCCCTTGACGCGGCAGGGCGCGATCTCGCAGCTGTCCGCGTCCGCTCTGACCACCGCCGCGCCCTGACGCCCGCAGATCTGATGTTTCCCATCCTCGGCCTCGGGCCCAGACGTGCTCGCGCCGTGCCAATCATCGCGACGGACACCTTTGGTGCCTTTTCGGCCACTGGGTGTCCTCGCTGTGCCCCGGGACCGTCAGACAACGCCCCGGCCCTGGGGAGAGGGTGGGGACCAATATGGGGCCTCCGTGTCGACGGAAGCGAGGCCTCGGATGTCCAGAGAAGAAAGGTCCCGGCCCCTGTGGGCTCAGTTTTTTTACCCCAGCTGCGTTTCTGAGGGCCCTCGAGGGCCGAGAAAGAAGCCCCAGAGGGCCGGGGTCGGGCAGAGACGCTCGGCGGGGAAAGCTCAGCTCGTCGGGGCGCTGAGGGGAGCGAGCGCCGTGGGGCGCAGCGGAGTGCATGGGGTCGGGGGGAGCGAGCGAGGGAGTGGCCGAGCGTGGCGGGGCAAAATTTCATTTAGCATGAGGGAGAAGGGTCCCGAGGGAAACGGGCCCTGGATCCTGGGGTCTTCCCCTGACGTCGAGATCTCCATCCTGAGTCGTGCTCTGACAGTCCCGGGGCCCGTTGAGGGCCACGAGAACCCGGAAGCGGCGAAAAACCTCAGGACCCGTTTCCCTCAGGACCTGTTTCTTGGCGGCGCGCAGAGGGGGGTAGGGCAAGCTAGGTGCGCTCGCGTCATATCTGACGTCCTACCCCTCCCTCCCATCCCTTACCATGGCGTAGATCTCCTCTCTATTCGCACAGTCAGGTGTCGCAGCATGGCATAGCATTACATGGCACAGCATGGAGTTGACCATCAATGCGTAGCATGACATAGCATGGCGTGGCGACGCCCCAAAGTGGGGGGGGGCTTCTGCGGCCCAAGGAATCAACGAATCGACAACGAATGTGTAATCACTTTCGCTTTTGTTTTCGGGAGGCCATTTTGTAGATTATGGGGCTTACTTGGAAGGAAGGCCAGCGCTGCGGCGGGAACGCGATTCGGACGGAGCGGAAGCGTGGAAATAATGCCAGCGCTGCAGCAGGAGCACGATTGCAAACTAACTCAAGCGAAAACCCATTTCCCAGAAATCCGGTTTGTTAAAAACAATACGCGGAGGGGGGCCGGATATCCTCTGGACGTCATCAGGAGAGAGAGAGAGAGAGAGAGGATACTAGTATTCATGCTATGTAATTTTGCAGGGGGGAGACTTCTTAGAAGAGGGCTGCTTCTTAGAAGGCTTAGGCTTGGGCCTCACATCTACAGACGAGGCGCGCCCCTTCTAAGAAGCAGACTCCTTCTAAGAAGCCTTCCCCCCTCCCCCCTGGCCCTCCCCTGCGCGTGGCTAAGCTTCCCCCGTGGCGAGACGTGGAAGGATCGTCGCCGTCGCCGCCGTTGGCAGTCGATCTGGGCAGCCTGCGCGCCCTCTGCGCTCAGCTCCCCCGTGGGCGCCGCGCCTGGCGCCCTCGGCAGCCCCGAGCCGACGCGCGGCAGCGTGGTGCCGCTGCGGCCAGTGCAGGATGCAACCGCCGCCTCGCGCGGGTGGCGCGGCTAACTGACGGGGCCCACAGAGGCGCAGCACACATCGACACACAGTCCAGGGTCCTCGATAGTCTTCCACTAGAACCACGCGCGCTTCGCGCGCGCTTAGGTTCTAGCTAGGATCGTCACCGTCGTCATCATGAACATCACCATCGCCATCATTCCCCCCGCCAGGGCTAATGTACATCGTTTCTGGATGCTTCTGGCCGGAATACGAAAGGAGTTTCTGTAGTTAGAGTCTCTGGGGGAAGTCGCGGGGAAGCTTTTGTTGTCTTTGGTGTTGCGTCGCCAGGAGGTCTGGGCTCCCTCCTCCTCGTGTTCCTACCTCCTCTCTGGACGTCCGATGTCGTGATGCTTTCTGTGCGCGGCCCCTGGACCTCTCGACGACTTCCTGGGGATGTGTTTTTTTTTCATCCTGAGTCGTTTTCTGACGGTCCCGGGACCCTGCGAGGGGCCCCGGAGGCCGAAAATTGACCGAAACCGCCGTCGTGATTTTTCCAAGACGTCGGAGGTCCAGGTCGTGCTTCCCGCCTCCCCAGACCTCCGACGTCGTAATTTTTGCGACCTCGGGCCCAGGAATCGATTGGGAAAACGCACATGGGAAGGCAAGAAATGATGGACCCATCATTTCGTACCTGTGCCTTGATCAGTGGGACGGGCTTCGCACCGCCGCACATCACAAGACACGCTCGAGCGGATCCAGCCGTGGCGACGTCGGGGACTGCAGAAGGTCGCAAGGACACGGAATCTGAAAGGAAGAAAGAGAAAGAGAGAGAAAGAGAGGGAGAGAGAGAGAGACAGACAGACAGAGAGCGAAGGAGAGAGAGAGAGAGAGATGGAGAGAGAGAGAGAGAGAAGAAGACAGAGAGAGAGAGAGGCAGAGAGAGGAAATGGAGAGGAGGCGAGCTTGAGTCAACGAAAGTCGCAGGGAAGGGGGCAGGGGGAAGAAGGCCAGAGAGCGCTGAAGGATACAAATACTGGAACCCTCTTGGGATTTTTTTGGGGGCCTCGTCCGGCCGCTCGCTGGGAGTTTGACGTAGCTTCTTGGGAGCCTCTGAACCTGTCGGGGGCCTCCTGGAAGCAGGTTCGAAGCATTGTGGGGGCCGATTTGGGGCTTCTCGGGGCCTCCTTTGGGCCTCTTGGGGGTCTCCTGGGGCCTCTTGAGGGGCCTCCTGGGGGCCTCCTGGCGGCCTCTTGGGGCGGAAGGCTCGAGCTTGCGGTTCGTGGTCCCCCTCTGGGCCCCCTCTTGGGCCCGTCTTGGGGCCCTCTTGGGCCATCTTGGGCGCCTCTTGGGCCGTCTTGGGGCCCTCTTGGGCTGTCCTGGGGCCCTCTTGGAAGCTTCTTGGGCCGTCTTGGGGCGGTCTTGGGCGCCTCTTGGGCCGTCCTGTAACGTCGGAAAGCCCAAAAGACAACTTTGTTGAAAATGTACGTTTTACGAAGGGAATGGGCCAATTTTTGCGTCTAGGGGCCCTCTTGGGACGCATGTTGGAGGCTTCTTGGGGCCTCTTGGGGGCGTCCTTGGACGTCTGGAGGCCATCTTCAGCATCTCGGAGCCCTCTTGGAGGCCTCTTGGAAGTTTCTTGGGCCGTCTTGGGCGCTTCTGGGGCCGTCTTGTCTGACCGGGGAGGCCTCCGGCAAGCCCCGACGAGCCTCCGGGCCCCCCGGGGCCCACATTTGTGGTCGAGGTCCCGGCCCTGGGCCCCCGGACCCGGTGCGCCGTTATATGTATATATTTCCTGACGGTTCCTCTTGCCCTCCATGTCCCATAATTGTGTCGCCGCGCCGTTTGTTCTAAACGCGCCCAAATAGACGAAGCCGGCGCTGCGGCAATTAACAGCAAACCTTGCGTCTAAGGCGGCGTTTGCCGTGGCTGTCGAGGCGGCCTCTCCAAGACGTGGGGCCGCGAACGGCGCGGCGACATATTTTCCACGGTTTCAGATCTATCCGCGTCTGCGGATGTTTCTGCCCAATGTTCCCTCCCGAGCCTCGCTCGGGTTGCGCGGCTCGCCGGGCCGCGCCTGCCAGGAACCGCGCTGCGAGGCGCGGCACGACGCCGCCCAGAGCGGGGGCGCCGAGGAGGGCACCCAACCCTTGCGAGGGGGAACGGTAAAGGGTACGGTTGGGGGAATCTTCGAGATTCAAAGCTTTCATAAAAAGGGGAGGAGAATACACTTTCGACGGTCCGCGCGAATTTCTTGGATGTGCGCTGGACCCCCTGGAGGCGCCTCCAGCGCTGCCCCAGGCGCGCTCCGCGCGCCAGGGGGGGGGTACAACGCCGATCCAAAAAATCCACGCGGACCGTCGAACGTGTGTGTGTTCCTGCCGTTGGGCGCGAATTAATGGGGGGCGATACAACGGGTGCCCTTTTCGGGCTCCAAATGCCCGCTCGGGGGCCCTAGAGGGCTTCTTTAGGGACCTGGAGGGGCTCCTTTTCTGCAACCCTCGCTGCCCCTTCCATTCCTCGCCCCCGCAATCACTCGCGCCCAATACCGCTGCCCTTCTTCGACGTCGGGCGTTTTCGTGGGCTCTCCGCGGCTCCCGAGCCCCGGGGCGCCTTCCAGGGACTGCGCCTCTCCGAGAGCTTCCCGGGGGCTGTCCCGGGCCGTCCCGAGCGGCCGCCGGAGGCCTCGAGTTGAGACCCGCAGACCTGGTGGGCAGCGTGAAGGGGGAGGGGGGAAAGACGTCTTCGATCGCCCCCTCCCTTTGGGGGGCTTCCCTCTCCGTGCGGATGCGGGTTCACGGAGCCAGACCAGCGGGCGAGCAGGCACAGACGGGCTGTGGGGGCGCTGGGCGGACCCTGCTGCTCGGGAGCGGAATCGGCTCAGCAGAAGATCGGGCTGGAATCGGCGATGCGTCGCCGATAGATCGGCGACGTAGGCCCCCGATGGCGAAGCCGCGCGTTCCTGGACGGGGCGGGCCATCAAGCCCCTTCTCGGCGATGAGTGAGTGATTGGGGGTCGATGCGTCCCTCCCCGAGCCTGTCCCCTGATGGCCATCGGGTCATAACTCAGGCCTCCGGCGGCCGTCCGGGACGATGCGGGCGGACACCACCAGAACGCTCTCGGCGCGGCGCGGCTGCTGGAAAGCACCACGGGGGGCTGGAATGCCGCTCGGACTGGCCGACCACGCCCCGAAAGCTCGACGCCCGAAGCCCCCTTCGGCCGCCCCGAGTGGTCCCGATGCCCCCGGCAAGGCCTGTATGGAGCCCGTCCCCCGATGGCTTTCGGGCCCTGCCGCGGGCCTCCGGCGGCCGCGCGGGGCCGCCCGGGTATACCCCCAAGGGGAACGCCCTCGGGGAGGCGCGGCCGCCGGACGCCCGCCCCTGGTCTCGGAACCCTGCGCAGACTTCTTTCGGGCCCCCGCCCCCCCCGAGCCTGCGGTGGCGGCGGCCTCGGCGGCACGCTGTGGCCTGCGAGCGGACATCGCGTGTCGCTCCGCCTCGCGGGGCGGTGTGCCGGGAGAGGCTCGGAACTTCGCCGCTTGGGAGTGGGGGCGTGGAGAGCGCGTGGCGCTGAGGCGTGGTGGGCCAGAGCCCGCGGCGCGACACGCCGAACCAGAGGTCCTGGCCGTACCCCCCCCCCGAATGGGATGACCGCGGGGGGCGCGAAGGGGATAGGGGTGTCATAAGCGGATGTTGGAGTGGTTGCAGCTGGCGTCATTCAGTTGTTGAGTGGGTCACGAAGGCCCCAAGTGGCTTAGGGGATCTGCCCACGTAGCCCGGATCGCTGACCCCCCTGAGCCACTTGGGGCATCTGTAACCCACTTAGAAGCCAGGGTCGGCCAACTATAACCACCTCGGCATCCGATGATGCGGTCGGGAACTTTGGGATAGCGTGTCGCCACGGCGGCCCTGGCGACACGCTATGCCTTGCGAGTGGATCGCGTGCCGCTCCGCTCCGCGGGGCGGGAGGCTCGGAAAAGCTCGGGACGCTGACGCCTCGGGACCGTGAAAAGGATATCGTGTCGCGCCGAGGCGTGGCAGGCCAGAACCGGCGGAGTGACACGCTGTCCACACATTCCTGGCCGTATCCAGCTACACGCAAGAGTGACCCTCCGCAAAAGTGACACTTAGTGCGCGGAGGTAAGGGGGCTCAAGGTGGCCAGATCCCAGCGCGCAGCCAGCCACCATCGCATCGCGCTGAGCGACCGGGGGGGCCCCGCTGAGCCCGCACCTGAGGTCACTCCGGCGAGGGGTCCCTCCCCAGAGATCCGATGTCGTGATGTTTTCAATGCGGGGTCCCCGGAAGTCTCGACCCATTCCCCAGGGCCGGTTTTTCATCCTGAGTCGTGTTTTGACGGTCCCGGGGCCAGGCGAGGGCCCCTGGAGGCCAAAAACTGCGAAAAACCTCCGTCTTGATTTTTTCACTACGCTGGATCTCTGGGTCTTACGTGCAGTCGACGTATCCCCTTTTAGCACCCCCCGTGGTCAGCCCGAGTGACGCTGCCCTCGACCTTGGCCGAGGGCTGGGCCGGCGCCTGCCTGCCGTGCCCGGGGCAGCGGCGGGGCCAAGGCGGAGGAGGCGCCCGGTCGCCCGGGGGGGCCGCCGGGGCCCTCGGCAGGGGCGCCAGGGGCAGGGCCATGGTGGACGGCTTTCTCGGCGGCGGACAGACCCAGACATGCTCGCGTCACAAAAAAATCAGGACGGAAGGTTTTTGGTGATTTTCGGCCTCAGGGGGCCCTTGCCAGGCCTCGCGACCGTCAAAAACGACACAGGACGAAAAACTGGTCAAGGGGCAAGGGTCGGGACTTCTGGGGGCCCCGTCCTGAAAAAATCAGGACGTCGCATGTCTGGGAACCTCCCTTCAATAAACCTGCCCTTAGTGAAAACGGCCTAGGACCGAAACCGACGGACCTGGACCCGCAGAGATGACGGCCGCGACGCCCTCTCGCGAACCGAGAACGGCCAATTCCTGAATCGACGTGTCAGGGTAGGAGGTCTGTCCACCCCCGGCTTTTGGCGAGGCCGTCGAGCGGCGTGGGCCGCAGTGGCTGCGCGGGCGGATGCTGCCGATGATGCCTGCCGGTGGTGGTGGTAAGGATGATGGTGGTCATGATGATAGCGACGATGCTGATGGTGCCGCTGCGGCTGAGGAGGAGGAGGAGGCTGATGATGCTGATGCTGATGCTGGTGGCGAAGGTAACAACGATCATGCCGACGACGGTGATGCTGATGAGGATGATGATGATGATGATGATGATGATGATGATGATGATGATGATGATGATGGTGATGACGATGACGATGGCGATGCTGCTGACGATGACGACAGTGCTGATGATGATTCCGATGCCGATGACGATGGTTGTTGATGATGATAGTGGTGATGATAAAGATTAAGACAATGATGATGCTGATGATGACGATGACGATTATGACGATGATGACGATGATGATGCTGATGATGTTGATGTTGATGCTGATGCTGGTGATGCTGATGGTGATGATGCCGATGATGATGATGATGATGATGCTGATGATGCTGCTGATGATGATGATGATGATGATGATTGTGATGTTGCTGCGGGTGATGCTGATGATGACGACGATGGCGACGATGATGCTGCTGCTGCTGATGATGATGATGATGATGCTGATATGGTTTGTTGCGTCACTGCGCATATGCCACAGTCCGTCGACTCCGCCTGACCAGGCTTCACCGCCGAAAGATGTTGCTGCTGCTGTCGATGGTGCTCCACGTTTCGGCACTGTCGCAGCATGCCAGAGAGCGATGGCGCGCGACCTCTTCAGGACCCGGCACAGCGCACCACCGCTCCAGAGATATGCGTACGCCAGCGGGCGGGGCCGACGTGAGCGCACAGAAGATGATGAGCCCACCTCAAAGGAGGAACGCTCATGCCCACTCGCGCGTCGACGACCTGGAAGACCTCCGCGAGCAGCCTCTCGCAAAAGAAAACCTCCAGGGGCCCGCGCTTGAAGAAGGCCTCCACGAGCACCTCCGCGAAGAATGTCTCTACGAGCAACCGTGTAAAGAAGGCCGCCACGGGCGCCTGTGCGAAGACGACCACCACGACGACCGCCCGCGCGAAGAAGGCCTCTGCGAGCACCTGCATGAAGAAGACCTCCACGAGCACCGTCGCGAAGATTATCTCCGTGAGCACCACCTCGAAGAAAGCCTCCACGAGCACCCGCGTGAGGAAGACCCCGCCAACACCGTCGCGAAAGAGGCCTCCACGAGCACCAACGCGAGGAAGAAGACCTTCGTGAACACCCACGAGGGAGGCCCCCACCGGCGCCCGCTCGGAGAGGCCCACCAGCACCCGCCCGACGAAGACCTCCGCGAGCATCTCATTGAGGAGAGCCTCAAACGATTGCCCGCGCGACGAGGACCCTCACGAGAACCGACATGCTGATGATGATAATGATGATGATGGTGCTGGTGTTGACGAGGGTGATAATGACGATGATGATGATGGTGATGCTGCTTATGCTGGTGGTGCTGGGAATTACGATGTGGATGACGATGTCGATGGCGATGATGATGATAACGATGCTGATGGTGATGCTGATGGTGGTGATGATGATGATGGCTACGACGATGATGATGATGATGATGATGATGATGATGATGATGATGATGATGATGATGGTGGTGGCCATGAGTTTCATTTGTATTATTATTAGGGTGGTGATGATGGTGATGGTGGTGATGATGATGATGCTGATGATGGTATGGTTTGTTGCGTCACTGCGCATATGCCACAGTCCGTCGACTCCGCCTGACCAGGCTTCACCGCCGAAAGATGTTGCTGCTGCTGTCGATGGTGCTCCACGTTTCGGCACTGTCGCAGCATGCCAGAGAGCGATGGCGCGCGACCTCTTCAGGACCCGGCACAGCGCACCACCGCTCCAGAGATGATGATGATGATGATGATGATGATGATGATGATGATGATGATGATGATGATAATGACGATGATGCTGATGGTGACGAAGGTGATAACTACGATGATGGCATTGATGATGATGATGATGCTGATGTTGACAATGCTGATTAAACTCAGAAAGTCTGTAGTTTTACTCCTCCCCTGTATCTCTCGGCAAGAAGTACAATTCGTCCCGCCTCCTCCGCCGGCATTCCTACTCCTCCTCCTCTTTCTCCTCCTATCCCTCCTCCTCATGCTCCAACCAGCTTTTGGGTTTACACTGGTCCTCGTCCTCTTCCTGCTCCACCTCGTCTCATTCCTAAGGAGGAGGAGGAGGAGGAGGAGGAGGGGTCGGAGGAGGAGGGGGAAGAGGGGGAGGAGAAGGGAAGGAGGAAAAGGAGGAAGAGGAGGAGGACGAATCGTAGTCGCAATCGAAGCCGTAATCGTTGTCGTGGTTGCAGTCGTAGTCGTAGTCGTAGTCGTCGTCGTCGTCGCGGCGAAGGTCATTTTCCGTCTATTGTCGGGCGGGTTGGATCCTGTTGGAGGGTTCTTTCTCCTAGGGGATAAACCACTGTGGGCTGCTATACACGCAAGAGGATGTGTGAGCATCGTCTCTGGAGGATTGCAATAGGAATCAATGGTTGTGGTGTAGTCGTGATTGTAGTCGTGATCTTTTTTTCTATCGTGATTGTAGTCGTGATTGTAGTCGCGATTGCAGTCGCCGGATGAGATTAGATTCCCTCTATTGTTTCGGCGTGCTGGATAATGTAGGCGGTTCTTCGTCCCAGGGAAATCCTGCAGGACAGAGGAACTTTAAGCACGTGCGTAGGAGGATTGCAATACAGATCGACACATTCTTCAATGCAAGTGTTGCTCACAGTCTCCTCCTTCATCTCGTCGTCATTGTGCGGCGGGTGCCGCGGGAAAACAACTATTTTTCCACGATTGGTGGGACCCCAGTCCGTCAATAAGGTCGGGAGTTCTGAAGACCGACTGGGGTCATGACGATGCTGCTGATGGTGAAGCGGGTGGCAGTGGTGATGGCAATGAATCAGAGTATGACAAGTGTGATAGCGATAACGATGATGGTGGTGATTCAGATGACGATGCTGATGGTGATAATGGTGATGCTGATGATGGTGATAATGGTGATGATGGAGATGATGATGATGCTGCTGCTGCTGATGATGATGTGATGGGGATGCTGGCGCTGACGACAACGATGTTGACGACCATGATGACTAATATGATGGTGATGGTGCTGATGTTGGTGACAATGACGGCGACGTCGACGACGAGTATGATGAAGACGATGTCGATGCTGATGACGGTGCCGATGATGCTACCGATGACGATAGTGATGACCGCGCGGGCTGGGTGTGGTGATGATTGATGGTGGTGATGCTGATGGTGCCACTGCTGATGATGCGGGTCATCATGGTCATAATAATGACGATGACGTCGACGGTGATGATCATGACGATGATGACGATAGTGGTGGTAATGATTCGGATCATTCACCGAACAGTGCCTGGACCTGGGGCTCTTATGTATTTTCTAAGGAACTCAGCTCGGTTGTCGGGTCCGCCGCATTCCCGCCGCTGTCACCACCCCGCGGCCGCATCGTCGCCGCACTTCGTCTGGGCTCGTGTGGCGGATCCGCCGCCTTGTTGCCGCCGTCGCCGCCCCGCGGCCGCCCCGTCGCCGCCCGTCGTCTGAGCTCGTTTGTCGGGTCCGCGGCCTTGTTGTCGTTGTCGCCGCCCTGCGGCCGTCTCGTCGCCGCAACGAGAGCTCCACCGCATAGATTGCACCACAAACGTGGCCCCTGATATACTGCACAACAGCACCGCGTATATTCTCCTTTCTAAAAAAGGAATAGACTCTACCCCCCCGGAGATATCGCCCCCCCTTTCGGGTATGTATATCACATATGATTCTGACCACGTGTCCATACTAAATATGAAATCACAATGTCCCAGGCCAACCGGGTTCCCCCCCTGAGGTTCCCTTGTAAAAAACACTATGCGGTGACATTTTTTGTTCTAACATAGCACTTTTTCCCGAATCCCTTGCAACAAATGGGAAGAAGTGCACACGCGCGCGTCGTCGCGCGCGCATGCCGAAATCCTTCAAAAACCTTCGGTGCTGGAAGGATTTCGCAATCGAGTTTCCAAAAAAACATACAAAACACTTGGTGTCGTAACACTGATTTGCTGAAAAAGCTTACGCGCGAACTCTAGCGAAATCTTAAGAAAGCCATGGTTTTTTCAAGATATTTACAACATGCTACCAAACGGGCGTCGAGCGCGCATGTCGAAATCTGTCGAACGCCCTTGCGCGTGTGCCGTCGCGAGAACACTCTGCAAAAAATGGGACGAGGTGCACACGCGCGCGTCGTCGCGCGCGTACGCCGAAATCCTTCAAAACCCATCGGTTTCGGAAGGATTTCAAAATCGCGCGTCCAAAAAACCTACAAAAACACAAGGTTTCGCAACACGGATTTTCAACAAAAGCGTGCGCGCGCGCTCTTGCGGCGTCGTCGTCGTCGTCGTCGCCGTCCTCCCTCCTCCCGCGTCGTCGTCGTCGTCGCCTACGTCGTCCTGTGTCTTTCCTCGTGTTCGTCGTCGTCGTCCTCTTTGGCGTCGTGGTCGCTTCCGTCGTCGTTGTCGCCGTGGTCGTCCTTCCTCCTCCTCCCTCGTCGTCGTCGTCGTCCGTCGTCGGCGTCTCGTCGTCGTCCCTCCTATTTCGTCGCCGTCGTCGTCGTCGTTGTCGTCGTCGTCGTCGTCGTCGTCTTCCCTCCTCCCTCGTCGTTGTCGTCGTCGGCGTCGCCGTCCTTCCTCCTTCTTCGTCGTTCGCGTCGTCGCCGTCCTCCCTCCTCCCTCGTTGTCGTCGTTGTCGTCGTTGTCGTCGTTGTCGTCGTTGTCACCGTCGTCGTCCTCCCTCCTCCCTCGTCGTCGTCTTCGTTGGCGACGTCGTCGTCGTCGTCGTCGTCGTCGCCGGCGTCGGCGTCGTCGTCTTCGTCGTCGTCGACGTCGGCGTCGTCGTCGTCGCCGCCGTCGTCGTCGTCGTCGTCGTCGTCGTCGTCGTCCGTCTTCTTGCTTCTCCGGCCTTCTTGGGGCGCTCTTGAGACGCCCCCGAGGGCTCCAAGACGACCCCGGAGCGATATCTGTGCTCGGTCCCGCATGGGTTTTGCAAACCAAGTTGCGGGTGGGTGGGCGGGATGATTGCGCGAGCAGTGGAGTTGACAACTTCAAGTTCGGCAAGTGAATTCCACCACATAGATGGGACCACCTATAGTGCGCAACGTATGCTAGACAGCGTGGCCCCCAACCACTGTGATTATAGTATTGTAGGTGGTGCTATCTTTGTTAAACCATCTACGTGGTACAATCTGCGTGAATCGAGACGTGTGGTGCAACTTATGTGGAGCAATCAATCACTTGCTCAACTTGGAAGCTGTCCTCTCCACTGCTCTTGCAAACATCCCACCCTCCCACCCGCAACTTGGCCGCAAGACCTACTAAGACCGTGACGGTGGGTACCAAATGGCACTTGGCAACGACACCGACGTCGTCCTCCCGATAGCCGCAACGACGACGACGCCGACGACAACGGCTACGACGACACCGACGACATCCTCGACTACTTCGACGACGACGACAACGACGACGACGATGACGAGAACACCGACGACGACGACGATAACGACGACGACGACGATCACAACGCCGACGACGACGACGACGCCGCCGGCGACGACGACGACGACGACGCCGCCGGCGACGACGACGGCGACGACGACGACGACGACGTCGCCAACGAAGACGACGACGACGACGACGAGGGAGGAGGGAGGACGACGACGGCGACGACGAGGGAGGAGGGAAAACGACGACGACGACGACGACGACGACGACGGCAACGAAATAGGAGGGGCAACGACGAAACGCCGACGAAGACGACGAGGGAGGAAAGACGACCACGGCGACAACGACGCTGACGAGCAAAGACAGAGGACGACGACGGCGACGACGACGACGACGAAAAGGGAGGAGGGAGGACGGCGACGACGACGACGCAAGAACGCGCGCGCACGCTTTTGTTGAAAATCCGTGTTGCGAAACCTTGTGTGTTTGTATGTTTTTTGGACACACGATTTTGAAATCCCTGCGAGACAGAAAATTTTCGAAGGATTTTGGCATGCGCGCGCAACGACGCGCGCGTCTGCACTTCGGCCCGTTTTTTACAAACGATTTTCGCGACGACACGCGTGGGCAAAGCCCGTTTGGTAGTATCTTTTTGGAACGCTTGAAACACGCATGGTTTTCTTCAGATTTCGCAAGAGCACGCGTGTACGCTTTTTTGAATGTGTTCTTGCATGTGCGTTGGAAGCTCAATTTTGAAATCCTTCTGAAACCGAAGTTTCTTGAAGGATTTCGGCGTGCGCGCGCGACGACGCGCGCGTGTGCATTTCGTTTGTTTTTTTGGGGGGCAAGGGATTATTGGAAACGTATGTTTTTTTAAAGCGAGAGTGCGCGCATGGTCTGTTTTGCAAAGGATGGCGGGGGGGACTGATACCGGCCTGGCTGGGATAGTATGAACTCATATGTACGATGGACGACTGTGCAAAATAGGTATGAACTCGCAATACCCCAAAGGGAACCATTAACTCCAGGGGGGTAGAGTCCATTCTTTTTTAGAATGGATAATCTACGTTGTGCACCCTATGTCGTGCAATCAGCCATGTGTACTACGTGGTGCAATACACGTGGTTGTGCCACATATGCTGTGCTATGTATGCGGCGCAGCATCTGTGGTATCATCTATATGGTGCACTATAGGTTGTGCGATGGATGGTGTACAATATATGTAGTGACATATACATAATTATGTATATCGATTGTGGAACGATGGATTGCCATCTATGCTGCGAGCGATCAAGAAGCGCGCCTCAATCTGTGTTGCGAAATATAGGCTGTGCAATATATGTGTTGTAATATATGCTGCGCAGCCAGGGTTGTGCAATATGTGCAGCACGGTAAACGCGGTTGTGCAATAGTTGTTGCCAAACCAACGTGGTGCAATTTATGACTGCGATCGATGTGGCGCACTCTATTGTGAGCGATCAAGAAGCGCTCCGCAAGCGCTACATATTCTTCGCGCGATCTACGCGGTGCAATCCGACGGCGGCGACGGGCGGCGACGAGGCGGCCGCGGGGCGGCCATGGCGGCCACGAAACCGCCAGACCGAAAACCCAGCCCAGACGACGGACGGCGACAAGGCGGCGACGGGGCGGCGACGGCAGCCACATGCCAACCAGACCGAAACCACGGCCCAGTTCCTTAGAACAGAGGCAAGAACCCGTAAGTGCAAGCACTGTTTGGAGAATTGTGCACAACGTAGATTGCACAACATAGATGGCATCGCATAGATTGCGCCACGTAGATTCCCGCATCAAAGGATTGCACCGCGTAGATTGCACAGGCATTGCACCGCGTAGAGTGCATGGCGCTGATTGCGCACCACATAGATTGCACAGCATGGATTGCAACGCATGGGTTGCACCGCTGCGCATCGGCGCCGCGAAGCTCTGGCGCGGCAGACAGCTGCGGAGGAGGCCCGACGCGCCCAAGCGCTGGCGGCCAAGCTCCGCGGCGGCGGCGAGCTGGCGGGCAGCGGCAAGATCGCAGCGCCAGACGGCGCGGGCGATGGCGCGAAGAGTGGGGCGCCTGCTCCGCTGCAGGTTGACGCGCCCGCTCCGAGCGGCAGCTGCTGGAGCTCGTTGTTCGCGAGCTCCGCCGCTATTATCCCGATCTCTTCGGTGGCGTCGCAGCGAGCGGCGGAGCTCGAACATCGCGTCGAGCCCGGCTTCCTTCGGCATCATGGCAAGCAGCGTCTTGAGCTGCTTCGAGCGGTGGACAATGCCAGGGGCGGACCTCTGGTCCTTCTCGGGGGCTTTCTTGGCGTCGATGGCGAGCTTGATGACAGCGTTGTCGCTGGGCCTAATCTCTGATGAGGGAGACGGCGTCCCGCGCCGTCTCCAGCTGGCAGTTGAGGCAAGGCTGGCGGCATGGCAATGGAGATCTTGTCCATGGAAGTGCCCGTCTGGTGGCTCCTCGAGATGCGGGTCGGTCTGTCTGCGGCGATCTCGATGGCGCCCGCGCGCGCGAGTTCCCCCCCCCGCCCTCGCCCACCCAGCCTGCGGCATCACGTAAGACTGCGACGAATTGCTGGAGAAGTTGTAGTCACCCATGTCGAGGAAGGTACGCGTCGATGGGTCCGCCAATGCGAATTGCGAGTGCGCGTTGCCCCTCAGGGCGCGCCGCCTCTGATCGCTGCTAAACTCTCATAGCTGTGAACGTTGAGGATCGCGTCTCCACGTCGGCGCCGGGGTCGACGATCCGCAGGAGAAGATCGCGTCCATTGGTCAGGACAGTGGGAGCGATGTCAGGCAACATGAAGGAGGGAGGTCTGCCCGCCCCCCGATATACTTGAAGCTGCTCACGCTTTGCACGCGTGGGATCAGGCGCAGGAGCAGCGGCGCCTCCGATTCCGCGGGCTGCGCGGCCAGAGATGTGAGTTACATGAGGTGCTGGGTACTGAGATCTGGCGAGCATGGTCTCCAGCTCGATCCGCGGCCCGTGGCGCGCATGAATTAGGATGGCGGCATTCGAGCTGAACGCGTTCTGCGCGCGGCGGAACTTGAAGCGACATCGTCGGGCGTGATGACATAGCAGGCCGCGGGCGCTCCGTGGGGCCACTTGAAGCGGCGCCGTCTTCTGGGTGGAGGCATGGGCGGACTCGAAATTCAGCTGGAACATTCTTACGTTGATGCCGATGGCGGCGACAACGGCAGAGATCCAATTTAGTTTCGACTGTTAGCGGGTGCCCTCGGTTGGACTTCCGCGATCGCCGTCGCCCACTGCCGAGCAATGCCCGGCCGACATAGCACCCCGACGTCGGCGGCGGGAAAGATCTCGCCAGGGATACTGACGAGGCGCTTGGTCTGGAACTTCCGTCTGACCTGCTGTGGCGACATGTCCTCTAAGACGAAGAGCAGGGTCTCGGAGCCGCGAACGCTTGGCGCGTTGAATAAATGTTTTTGCCCCCCCCAATGGTTCGAGGGCGCTTGCGAGCGCCGGGACTCTAGGGGGGTGGCGCGCAGGTGGAAGCGACGGGCGGGTGCAATTTCGAGAAGTTCGTCATGCTCGGGTTGGAATTGACCACCTGGAATCCCTCGTGCCGAGGCTCGTCGAATTTCGATGGGCTGAATATTGCTGGGAGCGCCAGTGCTGAAAAGAGTGGGCTCGGTTCTCTGTCGTAGCCGGCAAGGTTTGCAAGTTCGGTGGTCGGTAACTGAGCATCTGCCAGGGAGATTGCTGCTTCCAGTCGTTGCGCTGCTTCTGTGAGATGTCGTTGCTCGTCTGTTCGATCTTCTTGCCAGCGCCGAATGCCTCCCAGGTAACACTCAAGAGGTTCGAATCTGGCTTGCTGAGGTTGGTAGTGGCGCTCGGTGGTGGAGCTCAGGCCGCCTGCGCGTTGGCCCAGGTCGAATCGAAGAGGTTGCTGACCCGCTGCGCGGCAAGGGCGAGCTGATTGTTGACGATACCGTCAGTGGCCGAAGCAAGATCTCCAGGAAGTGCGCCCGCTGGCGGTCGTGGTAGCGGAGGTGGGGGATCTCTGGGGCCAGGTGGGTGTGGAGCACGCTGCCGTGGCGGACGAGGTGCAAGTGGTCCTGGAGCAGCCGCTGCATGGTGCTGTGGGGGTGCTCTGGAACCCGCAGGTGCTGCTCGAACTTCTTGTGCCGGAAACGTGGGAAACAGCTCGAGCTCGGACGTCAGAGAATGTCGAGTTTCCCGGCCCATGGGGGCATCTCCATCCGCTTCATGGCGGACTGGCGGGATGGAGTGAACGCTCTTTCGGCGAGAGCTGCAGGAGCGCCAACTCTGGCTGCGAGTCGGGTACTTGATGTGGTACGGCCAGATGGTGGGAGTGTGGCGGTGCCTCCTGCTTGCCCTTGACGGCGTCGACGCGAGCTGCCAGAGCCTGCCCATTGGTCACCGCTGCAATTGGGTGGGCCCCGACGTTTCCCAAGGGGTGCTTTTTGTTCCTGCTGATCACGATGATCTCGCCGTCTGGCTTGGCGGGCAATGCTGCGGCGGGCACCGTCTCTGCTGTGGCCTCCGCTGCGAGATTCCTTGTTCTCTTCTCTGGAAAAAGAAGGCGAGCTCGAAGAGGACATGGTGCAGGGTGCTCGCGGCAGAGATCGCTGTCGTATGCCACGCCCGAGAAGCCTCTCGAGCCGAGCGTTGCTGCCAAGTGTAGGTGCAGAAGCAAGATGCACGCTACTGACAGTGCCTGGGGCGGACCGGGTCTCGAATCTGAAGTATCTGGGGCAGACCAGGACTTGGGAATGGGGCGGATCAGGACTTGGACATGGAACTCGCGTTGGAATCTGACCGAAGACCCGACGATGTTGATCATGCTGATGATGATGATGATGGTGATGCTCACCATGATGAGGACGCTGCTGCTACTGCTGCTGGCGATGATGGTGATGATGACGGTGGCTGCGATGGTACTGGTGATGATGATGCTGATGATGGTGATGATGCTGCTGATGATACTGATGGCGATGGTGATGATGGTGGAACCTTATGATTATGTTGATGATCATGCTGCTGCTGCTGGTGATGGTGATCATGCTCATGACGATGATGCCGCTGCTGATGATGCTATTGTAACGCTGACTGGTGAGGGGCGCGCTCTCCTGCGCGGCGAAGGCGGCCAAGCAGAGTGCCGGGGCCGACACGGGGGCCAACGGCGAGTAGATCCTCAGTGCGCCATCCCGGGGGGGGCGCAGGCTCTAGAGCGCTCAGCCAGCGAGGCCACATGCGGGTTCAGCACAGTCCCGCCCGAGCCGAAGCCACGTCACTGACCTGAATCCTTTCCGGGCCAGGCGAGCTTGGATCATACTACATCACCACCACCATCATCATCATCAGCATGATCATCACCATCATCATTACAATCACCATCACCATCATCATCATCATCATCATCACCATCATCAGCATCGTCAACAACAGCATCAGCATCAGCATGCGTATCACGAGCACCAGCACCAGCACCAGCACCTGCACCATCACAATCTCCAGCACCATCATCGCTAGCACCAGCACCAGCACCAGCACAAGCACGGGCACCAGCACCAGCACCTTTACCATTCAAATCCCCGTCAGCATCAGCATCACCATCACCACCACCACCACCATCAGCATCATCATCATCCTCATTATCCTGATCCTCATCCTCATCCTCAACATCATCATCACCCTCATTCTCATCATCGTCATCATCATCATCATCCTCATCACCATCAACATCCTCACCCTCATCATCATCCTCATCCGCATTATAATCATCAGCAGCATCAGCATCATCATCATCACCACCACCATCATCATCATCGTCATCATCATCATCAGCATCACCGTCATCATACTCATCATCTTCAGCGTCATCTTTATCGTCATCGTCATCTTCAGCAGCATCATCATCATCCTCATCATCCTCCTCATCCTCATCCTCATTCTGCTCCTCCTCCTCCTCCTCATCCTCATTTTCATCCTCATCCACATCCTCATCCTTATCCTCCTGCTACTCCTCATCAGCATCCCCATCACAAGCAGCATCATCAGCAGCAGCATCACCATCATCATCATCGTCATCATCATCATCACCATCATCATCAGTATCATCATCGTTTTCGGCGTCATCATCATCACCACGATCATCATCAGCATCATCAGCATCGGCATCAGCATCAGCATCATCATCAGCATCAGCATCAGCATCATCATCTGAAGCGGGAACATAATAGTCATCATCAGCATCTTCCTACTCATCATCATCGTCGTCGTCATCGTCATCGTAGCCATCAGTAACAGCATCATCAACATCATCATGAATATCATCATGCTCATAATAATCACCATCACCATCACAATCACTATCACAATCACCATCACCATCACCACAATCATCACCATCATCATCATCATCATCATCATCATCGTCGTCATCAACATGATCATCATCGCCATCGCCATCACCATCAAAATCACCATCATCATTATCATCGTCATCAGCATCAGCATCAGCATCATCATCAGCAGCATCATCAGCATCAGCGTCAGCATCAGCATCAGCATCATCACCATCATCATAATAGTAATCATTATCATCACCATATCATCATCGTCTTCGTCGTCATCATCATCACCACCACCATCATCATCAGCATCAGCATCATAATCATCTGCAGCATCATCATCGTCTGAATCATAATTATTGTAATCGTAGTCATAATCATAATCATCATCATCATGCTCATCCTCATCCTCATCGTAATCATCATCATAAGCAACAGCATCATCATCAACATCATGATCATCATCATGATCATGTTAAGCACCATCACCATCACTATCATCATCACCATCACCAGCATCATCATCACCATCACAGTCACCATCATCATCAGCATCATCATCAGCAGCATTATCATCATCATCATCATCATCATCCCCGGCAGCAGCATCATCATCAGTATCATCAGTATCATCATCATCAGTATCATCAGTATCATCATCATCATCATCATCATCACCACCACCATCATCATCATCAGCATCATCATCATCATCATCAGTATCATCATCACCACCACCACCACCACCATCATCATCATCATCATCATCATCATCATCATCATCATCATCATCATCATCATGATCATCATCATCATCATCATCATCATCATCATCATCATCATCATCGGGAGCGCGGGCCACGGTCTTCTCCCGTGGGGGGATGTTCGAGTGGGGGACCCGTCGCCTCTTCTGAGGGAGCACCCTAGGGGAGGGTGACCGAAGTTTCGAGGCTCGAGGCTTGAGGCTTTTGGATGCTTCTGTTGGTTCTCGGCGGCTCCCTGGGCTCGGGTTGCGCGGCTCGCCAGGCCGCACCTGTCAGGAGCCACGCTGTCAGGCGCGGCACGACGCTGCCCAGAGCGGGGGCGCCGAGGCGGGTACCCAGCCCTTGAGAGGGGAACGGCACGGGGGAACGTTGCCTTCCAGCGGCTGCGCCTCGCCGAGAGCTCTCGAAGGGTTTTCCTGGGTCGTCGCGAACGGCCGTCGGAGGCCCGAGTCATGACCCGAAGACCACCGTGCGCCGAGGGCCCTCAAGGGGTGTGGTGACCACGCCGCGTGATGAGTCGGTGGGAATTCGGGGTCACCGTACGGTTTTGGGACTCGCGTCGTTCTTCGAGGACATCTCGGGCGAGCGGGGCCTCTGAGGTTCCAAGGCCGTGAGGTGACGCACCGCGCGGTGAGGGCTCTTGGGATTTCGAGGTCACCGCGCAGCCCGTCACCACACGGTTTCGGGACCCTCGACCTGAAGGGGAACGTTAGGGGGGGGGCCGGATCAACGGGTGAAACGTCGACCTGGAATCGGCGATGCATCACGGATAGATCGGCTGTGCAGGCACCCGATGGCGAATCCACACGCTCCTGGGCGGGATGGGCTATTAAGTCCCTATCGGCGATCACCGGTTCGATTGCCCCTGATACGGCAAGTTCGCGCCATGATGACCCCAGTGCTGGTTTCTGACGCGTGGATCGTTCAACCTTGAAGGGTCGGCGGCTTGTATATCGCCAGATCGTTCCGTAGTGGTCGATACTGGGCCACCATCGGCGTTCCACCTTCAACGCTCGTTGTGGGGTCGCCGCCGCGTCGACACGACGCGAATCTACCGTACCTGGTCACCTCCTCCTCAGCTCTTCTGCCCGACGCCACCAGAGCACGACATCCGCACCGTGGCTCTTGAATACAAGGAAGAGGTGGAGCAGGAAGAGGAAGAGGGGGAGGGAGGAGAAGGAGAAGGAAACAAAGATGACCACAGCGAGATTTGAGAAGAAGCTGCGCATACATGGCGCCCTTCCAATTGCTCCAAGAATTGATCAGTTGCCGCGCGCACCAGATTGAGACGCACAGCCTTCCTCGCTTCCTGGCCACCCAGACATTCCCCCTGGCACCCGCCTGCATGGTCCTCAACTCTTCGTCCTCCTCAGCTATTCCTCGTCCCTCTGTGCAGAATAACAACATGAACACGAGCAGAACCTTTCGCAGATCCTTTCGAACTTTTCTGGCCGGCGCTGGACCCCCCTAGCGACGCCAAGAAGGCACGGGGTGGCGCGCCCCCGTCTGCCCCGCCGCCTCCTCCTCCTCCTGTTCATCTTCTCCCTCCTCCTCTTCCTCCTCCTCCTCTCCTTCCTCCTCTCCTTCCTCCTCTCCCTCCTCTTCCTCCTTTCCCTCCTCCTCCTCCTCCTCCTCCTTCCCCTCGTCCTCGTCTTCGTCCTCCTCCTCTCCTTCTCCTCTTCCTCCTCCTCCTCCTCCCCTCCTCCTCCTCAGCTCTTCCTCGTGCTGAAGAAGAGTGTGTACCAGCGTGGGCCCCAAACGGGGGCTTCTCCTGCACCCTGGACGCGTGAACTGTGTGCTGCGGGCCGTGTTGCTGTTCTATGTGGTGCAGGTTGTGCGGTGCAAGCTGTGTGAGACACGCGATGCGCCCACCGGGCGGCCACCCGGGGAACCCACCCAGCGCACGAGGCGCCCGCGAGGGGCGCCCACGGGCGACCACCGGGCGAAGCCTCGGAAGCCCTGCGAAAGCCGGTGCCGGCGCACGGGGAGCCCGCGAGGCGGCCACGGCCTTGGCGAAAAAGCTCGGAGCACCCGGCGAATCTGCGAGAGAGCACCTGGCACAACAAAAACACGAGACACCCTGCGTGCAGGCACTGTCTGGGGGAGAAGCGACACAGACTCCGGAACTGTCGGAGGCCTGTTCGGATTTCTTGGGTCGGCGCCGCACCCCCCCCCCCCCCAGCGGCGCCTCGGGCGCTGCCCCTGGCGCGCGAAGCGTGCCATCGATAGGGGGACTCAGCGCCGACCTAAGAAATCCGCGCGGACCTCATAGCCCCCCCCCGCAAGCGCGGATAAGAGTGAGGGGGGACGAGCTCTGAGGGAGTCGCGCGGCCCCCGCTCGGGCGAGCGCACCCCCCCCAGGCACCGTGCCCGCGCGTCCTCCCCACGCGCCTTCCCCGCGCAACCTCCCCGCGTGCCCTCAGTGCGCATCGCCCTCCCTTCCAGCCACGTGCGCTCAGGGACCACGTCAGTCCGTTCGATGTCTATGATGTTTTTTTGTGTATAGTTCGACTGCTTATTCTTTTCTTTCCTGGGGCTGCGCGGTCCTCGGCTTTCGGCAACCTGGACTGACCGCGCACCTTCCAGTACACAGGTCTTCGGTGCCTGCGGCCGCCCGCGCACTCCTCGTGGCGTGCACTCCTCGCCTAGGTCGGCCGTCGGTTGCGGCGCTGTTGGCCTGGGGTCCTCGTCGCCGCGGCTGGCTCTGCCTCTCCTCGAGGGTCGGTCCTTGGGGTCTGCGCTTTGGTCTCTCCATGTGGTGTGGACTCCTCGTGGTGTGGACTCTCCCCAAGCCTGATGCCTCGCCTCTGCGTTCCTCCTCCGCGGCCTCTCTCTGTTGTTGTTCCCTTTTGTCTAATGTGCCCTAGCCGCGCGGGGCCCGCCGGCTTTCGACCGTGTTGGCGCTCGCCTTCGCTGCTGACCAGCAATTCATTACTTCTCCTCCTCCGCCTCCTCCTCCTCCTCCTCCATCCTCCCTCCTCCCTCCTCCCTCCTCCCTTCTCCTCCCTCCTCCTCCTCCTCCTCCTCCTCCTCCTCCTCCTCATCCTCCTCCTCCTCCTCCCTCCTCATTACCTCTCCTCCTCCTTCTCTTCCTCCTCCTCCTCTTCCTCCTCCTCCTCCTCCTCCCTCTTCATCAAAACTCCACGGCCGTTCGGCTGCCCTGCCGGGACAGCCGGGCGGCCGTGGGGCCTGGATGACCAGATCGGCTGGGGCCACGGAGCATGGGATCCGGTCGTGGCAGCTAAGCGGGGGTCATTGCGAGGAAGAACGTCGATATCGCCTTGGCGTAAATCACCGGCAGCTCGATTGCAGTCGGCTCGTAGAAGCTGCGGGCACACCTTTTTCAGGTCGCGGTGACTGCTGGCGCTGTGCAGGCCTGCGAAGGCCAAAGGCCCACATCGAGCACATCCGATCTCTAAACGCACCGCCGCGCATGAATGCGGTGGAGCGGGTGCGACGAGCCGATACGAGTATGTAAGCATAGGGACATCGTCATGCGCATGCTCACATTCAAATGCGCCGCATGCGCGTACACAAACATCTCTAACGAGCTCAAACGGTACGCTTGGACTACCCGCCAGCAACGCCCCCTCATCACATGTTGCTACCAGTCCGAGCACACCTGGCAACACGTCCTATCCTATCCTGTGGTTGCAAATCCGATGTCCTCTCTTCGAGCACTGTTCAAATGTGCCATTGCGCCCGCAGAATGCACGAGATTACTGCTGGCATTGACCGACGTCGCTCATCATCGGCGAAAACTTTACACCAATACTTCCACTGGAAGACGCGGTGCCATGATACACTGGTCAAAAACGGCAACACATCTTGCTATCAGATATTTCGGGGCACATTATCCGGCAATATTTGAGGACCCCTACGGTGCCACAGAGCTTCTGTGGGTCCCTGGGGCCGTCGGGGGATAAGGCACTTCCGTGGGGCACTCGCACGCAGGCCGACTTCGCTTTTAATAGGTGTGCCGACTGTAGTGTTGTGCGCCATGTAAATGGGATATTCACCTGTCGCCTATCTGTCGCAAGCAACTGTTTTCTCCCAGGCATGCCCAGCCCATGGAATCCTCAAACAATCCCAACAAATCTTTCACCAACTAGCAAGAACAGGAACATGTGACTGACCCTTGAAAGAGGACACCCACCTGTTCAATGAGCCTGCCGACGAGCCCACAACCCATTTGACCAGTCGTCGGGCCAGGTGTGCACAGCGAGCCTCTGCGGTGAGTGAGGAAGAGGTGAGGGTCGTACTCAGCACATTGTCAACGCTCTGGCGACCGCCGTGCGCAAAACAAGGTTATGCCCCCCATGCGTTGTCAAATTCGATTCCACCACGCTGACTGGCTGCCCATATCGGGAAGCAACGCCAGGGTCGAGAGGCCAAGCGAAGCCATCCCACGAACGAGCAGGGCGCATCGGCGAAGGAGGGATCGCAGGGGCCGTGGTGACCACGGGCAGTGACTGGGAACCGAGTGGCAATACCTATTTCTAAATTTAGCCCTCGGCCCTCCTCGAAGATCGAGGAGGGATTTCGAACGGTTCCGGACGGTCAATGTTGAACGTTTTCGGCCCTTCTCGGGTCCCGGGGACCTCCAGGGACCTCTGGGGGTCAGGATCTGGGGTGGGTGCAAAACGTACCAATACCTTTTCTCCTCCACCAGTCCCAAACTATTCTGCTGCTCTGCGGTCGCCTGTAGTACTTCTCGACGTCGGCCTCGCTGAGGGGCGCGTCCTTGGAATATCCCAACAAAGCACTGTCAGAACGCCTGGCTTCCTCTCCCCCTCTCCCGCCTGCCGTCCCCCTGGCTCTATCCGTCCTCATCCTCTTCCGCCCTCCTCCTCCATGATCCGTCCTCCTCCGCCTCCCCCTCATGATCCTCCTTTCATTTCTTAATATATCCGCATGGGTCATCCCGAGGCCGTGGACATGCCCCCCCTCACTGCCGGACGCGATGTGGCCATTGCGTGAGCGCCAATACCTCGTGAGTCCACGGGTCTGTGGGCCCTCGACGCCCCGTGGGTTTCGGCCAGGGGTCAGGCCCAGCTGCGAGGCAGAAGTACCCAGTCATGATCTAAGAACATTTCGCGGGAACCACGAGAGGTTCTCAGAACATTGTTTGGTAGGGCTTTAGGCGAGCCAGGACGTTGCGCCACTGCTTGACGTGGCCTGGCGACGCCAGAGGCGGCCGGGCGCGGCCAGCAAATGCTCGCTTCGACGATCCTCAGGCTAGCTTGGCCGATCCTCAGGCGGGGGCAGAATCATCCGGTAAGTGTTTGGCAGTCTTGCGAGGGCCGCTTTCAGGGAAGCTAGCTGCTGGGGCAGAGCTCCAGGGTGCCCGTCTTGGTGCGAGACCATCTTATATGTACGCGGTATATTTATACGTCTATATATATATATATATACAAATGCAGAGAGCTGTTGCTAAAATTGAATTTTCTCAGGTGAGGTCGAATGCGGGATACTACGCGAGGACAGGCGCGTGAGCCCAAAAGCCCAAACCCTAGACGTAGGGGGGGATACGCCGAGACGACAGCTCAAGGACGACAAACGAGGTAAGTGAGGCTGGGGCACATTAAATACTGTGCTATGTAATCGGCGCGAGGGCACCCGAACATGTAGCTCCACCTCGTGTCCGTGACGTGCATGCGGTTTGTGGTTGTCCACCCTCCCACGATCGTTTTGATGTACGGCCAACGCACCATGGGCGGCGCCAGGCTAAGTTGTCCCGCGGCACGTCCCACCGCTCCCTGAGCCAAATGGGAGTCGGATGGGAGAACCACGTGCGCAGGCGCTGGCCAAGTAGCAACTGCAGCTGGTCAGGGAAACCAGCGCCTGCACGGGAGCGCTGAAGCACTCCCCGCATCCGTGCGCGACGATTGAGTGCGACTGCAGCGCGCACGGCGCCGCATGCCCGCTGTTGGGCAATACGGAGCTGCGAAGAAGCGACAGGAGGCTTCGACACCGGCGCGGCGTACGCAAGCTCGTGATAATATTGGACAATGGCCTGCCTGAGGGCCCAGCACTGTGCGCACTACGTGCCACTGCACGGAGCGGCGGTGCTCAATGTTTCCTGCGGGGCGGCCGCCAAGTGCCGGTGACGCTATCTCCAAATCGTGTCCAGCGCCATGGACGCGCATCACCAGGCGCAATCCATGGCATTCGTGAGAAAACAAGTTGGGGTGGGGGAAGGTGACCAATTGGCCAGGAACTCGGAGCGAGAGAACGAGTTCGGGGGGGGTGGAAGGCTTTGTGGAGACCCCAGAGCTCACTATCGCCCAGAGCCTTATCGAACAGGAGAATTGTGCCACTTCCGACGTGTAGATGGCAGCCGCAAAATTGTACAATCGTGAGACCCCGTCGGAAGGCGACTTCAACCCACCAGGCTCCGTGCATCTGGCGCTCCGCTTAAGGGCGGGGGGCCGACATTCATCAGGAAGAGTGGCCTCAGGGCCATGCCAAATTTGAAAAGTGGAGTCGCAGCTCCGCCCGGAGCTGCACAACGAGGTCGGGAGTGAGGGAGGTCCAAGGGGGGACGAGCACGCAATTTGTCGGTTTCTGCAAGCGGAGGCATGTCACCTGTCGCAAATGCGAAACATGCGGCTCCTGCTCTCGCACGCACGCGAACTGGCGGAGAACCATGCAGGCTCCGAGCGCCCCAGGATCCTTCAGAAGTGAATTCGAGGACGCCGCCGGCAGGAAATTTCGATGAGGTCCCAGATTTGTCTGTTCCTCGCGAGGCGGCCGCGGGGACGGCGGGCTGCAGCAAGGCGAAAATTCTGGCAGTTGTTCGCCCTGCAACCTGGCCTGAGTGAGAGGGGGTGGAGGAAGAAGAGGAGGAGGACGACGACGAGATGGCGCGAGATTGAAGGCGAAGAAACGGGTCAAGCCCAATAACCCCGAGAGTTCCGCTCAGGGGGCATCCTTGTGCGACCCCGAGCAAAATGGGGAACGCGACTTCGCGACGGCCGCCAATCCAGACGAAGCCGACCATGTGCGAGTAGATGCCGGAATGTTGCGAAAGTGCAAAAAGGGTCGAGCGATGCGGCGCGAGCCTCAGTCCATCTGCACGATTGCCACGCGAAGTTCCTGCCTGCCACGAATCTCTGCTGCGATGTGTCCGTCTGTTGTTCGGCGACGGCCATCGGGTTCAAACTTATGGCCGACGCGATAACCTTCGCGCCCTGGCTCTTCAAGCTCAAGGCGGGTCTGGCCAAACTGGCGGATGCAGCTGACAAGGTCGCTGCACCCGGCTTCAGCGGAACATTTTGGCAAGAAGGCGGAATCGCTGAAATTCCATCGAGCAGGCGCCACCGCAGGGCCGCCGAAAAGTTGCACTAACATGGGGTAGATGGCCTCCATCGCGCATGGACGCGCCAACCATGCCTCCGCTGGCAAGCCGTCGGGTACCAGACCCGCGGGGCGTGCCCGCTTAAAGACAGCAGCCCGCTACGTCTGAGACGGGATGCGCAAGTCCATATAGGGAAACGCCGAAACACACAAATAAACAACAAACGACGCATGTAAATTTGAAAATGCGTTTCTTCGCGGTGATCAAAAAACATGAGGAGGAGCCGCCCGGGCGCTCGCTGCAATCGAGGGGCGCTCGAGGAACTACCTGCCCAGATGCCAGCGTTGGGGAAACCAAGAAGAACCGATACAGTAGGAGCCCGACCACGAGAAACCTTCCACGAGAAACCCAATCCTGAGACCCCAGGACGTCCACTGATTTTTGGCGTGAGGGAACGCCACGGATTCCATACCAGAACCATCGAAACCCAGCGGTCGATGTCGGCGCCGCAGGTGTCCTCACCGAGGAAAACGCTGGAACAATGCTGCACCAGTGCGTCGGCAATCGACGTGCCCGGCCAAGCTTGAGCCCTGAATGTGCAGGCCGTGTAGCACGAACCGCTTCCAGAACGGCGCCCAGAGCGCAGCGCGGCGGCGGGCGGCAGCCTCGCGGCGCTGGAGGTGCTCCTCGCTCTCTGGCCGGATGTTATTCTGCGCGAGCCACACAGCAGCGCGTATCTGCTTCTCGCGCCACTTCGCATTTCTGGCCACGATGACCTCCACAAGCGCAGCAGGGTCGTTGAGGGAGACGCTGTCGGAGCCGATGACGAGGAATTGCCACCCCAGCGACGCGCCAGCAATCGGGCGTCGCGCCAGCCAGACACTTTGCCGCCGGATGGCGCGGGCGATGCTGCGGAGCGTCTGCCGGCGCGCCTCGAGCGCAGCAAAGTCTTCGCGCCCAGAATCGCCTGGTTTCCTGGAAGCACGTTCCGCGCGATCATGGCGGCCTCCTTCATCATCCACTCCGCGAGGCGCAGCTCCGGAGGCAAGGTGACAGCGTCGAGCGCCGTGAGCAAGGTGGCCAGAGTCTTCGCGCAGAGCGGCGCCTTGAACCTGCGCGGCGGGACGCTCTGCTGCGCTGTTTGGAGCGAAAGCGCAGTGCTACATCAGCGCGGTCACTGAGGCGCCAGTCTGCGCGGACAGCCGCCTCGCGGTGGACCTCGAAGCCGCGCGCGGTCTGCTCCAAAAACTGAAGCGGCAAGGAAACGGAAGCTCAATCGATGGAAATTGCCGTTGCCGTCGCCTCGGCGCACCTCGTGGGGATCTCGCTGGTGACCTCGACCATCAAGTTATCAAACTTGTCCTTCTACCGTCGCGGATGCTGGCTCCAACGGCTGGTTGCCTGGCGGCTTCTCCAGGTTCAAGGTGGATGCGCGAGGCCGTCTGTGTCGCGCTCGGGCTGAAACCGCCGATCGCGATGAAGGTGCGTTTCTCTACGTCCTCGGCGGCCCAACACGCGGCAGCGCGCCACGCGGGCGCGGCGGCGGCGAATTGTGGGGTCGTAAAATCAACATTGCAAACGCACAGAATGCGCACGCTGGCGTTGGACGTGGGGGCGACCGACGTGGACAACCTCCGTCCAAGCACGGCGACGTCTTGCCGCTGCTGTGGACGGTCCTCCGCGCGCAGTGCAGAGATCGCCTAGCTGGAAGAGTCGCCGGGATCGATGTTCCGGTCGGCCAGGATGACCCGGGGCAAGGCTATGCTGCCGACCCAGCTCTGCAGGGGCTCGAGCAGCAGGACGCTGTCGCCAGTGACCCCGATGCTGTCCACCATCTACGCCGAGAACACGCAGATCGGGATGCCGAGCCCCGCGTTGACCTTGGTGGCCTGAGCCCGATAGGGGGGGCGGGCCACTGCGCGGCGCTGGCCTGCGCGCTGCTCGGCCGGCCGCCGCCGCCAAGACCGCCGCCCCGCCCGAGCCGCCAAGCTGCCCTGGCCTCGAGACCGGGGGCCCGAAGAGCTCGAAGCATGCGCAGGCGGCCCAGCGCGCCGCCGCGCGCGCGCTCGCGGCGCCCCAGGCGGTGCTCCTACAAGCAGACCACGTCGTAGGCTCGCTTCTGGTCCTCCACTCGAGCAAGGCTTGCCCTAGGCCAGGAGGTGTTGGCGGTGACCGACGTCATCTTCTACGTCATCTTCTCAGGCATCTCCGCCGCGCCCCCCGAGCCTGGCGCGACGCCGAGCTCGAAGAGGCTGCTCGCCAGCCCCCGCTGCCGCCCCCCACTGGGAGGCGCTCCAGCCGCGAAGCGGCTCTTCACCACTTCCGCCTCCAGCCCGGGGAAGTCATCAGGCGGCAGCAGCAGCCCGCTGCTAAAGTCTGGGGGCCCCGCCGCGCCCTCCTCCAAGCTGACGTTCTCCGGGCTCAACGCGTCGCTTCTTGTTGG